CTGTGGCTCGGGAAGCAATTGAAAAAAGAAATTATATTGCAAATAATTTGTAAATTAAATAAATAAAGTAATGAACATAGGGTTAAAGTATACAAAGTAAATAAAGTGTACAAAGTAAACAAACATATGTATATAAAAATAAAAATTTATTATTAATAACATTACATAATTATATCTTCGTAAGAAATTGTTTTAAAAGTTCGTTTCTTTCTCTTTGAATCGAATTATCTTCTTTTTGTTGACTATTCCATCCCTTTTATTTGTTCCTCCTCAACTGCAATTTTTTTCTCACACTGTAAACCTTCTTCCTAGACAGCATACAATGTCCATTGGACGTCCAAATCTGATTTTTATTTAGTCCGAACATCTATGACTTAATATGAATGTTTTAAAAACAACGTACAAAATATGTTCACATTTGGACATTTTAAAAATGTTCATCTCATGCAAAAAATTTTCTAAATCTGCTCGCGACGTTTGTTGTTTTCGCTGATTTGACAAGTGAAAATTTTTTTAAGATCGCATGAGGAATTTCACTTTTGTTAGTATGTACGGATATCTTCTGAACGTCTTAGGACATCTGTGTTGTGTTGAAAATTTTCAACGACACAAAAGTCTACACTGCATACTGTTCAGGTACATTATGGTACATAATTCGTACTGTATTAATATTATTATCAACAGGAGATAGACTGTGGAGATCTTTAATCGAAGACGAGATATGTACGATAATTGATACTGTGAAAGTACAGTGTATGATTTCCTAATCTGAAAATAGTCGTTATAATTTTAAATCGTTATAAGATTAAATATTAGACAGTAATTGACTGGATGCTCAGTTGAACTGCACAAATTTTTATCAGGTCCATATTGAACAGATGTATCATAATTATACATCCATGATTATATAGGTATTCGGATCATCGAAATGCAGCGGTTTCCATACGATTTCAGAAGTCAAGGCTAGTGGATAGCGGTATACAATCGAATGGATAACCGTTTCAAAGCACTATGAAATTAATTTCCGAATTCAGGGAAAAACATTTTTTTTTATCATAATTTTATGATGTATATTCTGGAATAAGATATTAATCAATAATAATACTCATAATCATATATCATAATCATATATCATTTTGTCAGAATCATTTTGTTTTGATTGTGGTCTAAAATTTATTTAATATATTAATTTAGTTCAGTTTTAGTCCATTGCGACCTAAAATGGATGTTTTTAAGAAATCCAAAATGATAATACTGGATATCTTTAAAACATTTTTTTTTAATATCCATAGAGCCAATCTAATCTGGATGTTTTTAATATGTCCAAAACGTCTAATATGTACGTTTTAAATATATTTTTAAAACATTACTATGCTGTCTGGATTTGAATCTCGCCTTTTTTGATTACTTTTTAATGGAGTACAACGTCCGGAAATTGAATCTGACATTTCTGCTAAACTCGACTTATTGTTAACGACTTATTGTTTAAATATTCATTTTCTAACGTGCAACATGTTGAGGGAGTGATGCGGAAAGTATGCCATTCAACGTCATAATAGTTCTGTAGCAGTCTTTACTGTTGAATGCGCCCATTGATAATAAGTGATTAGATAATAACTGGGTAATAATTTATGATATAAATTTATGTATATATTCAAGGTTTATATATACATATTCATTTATATACTTATAAGTATAACAAAGAGACAGTATAAGAATATTCACGTAGCAGTTTTATATTCAGTCAGTATAGTTTTGTCATAATCATATCTGTGCAATTTGTTAAATTGTTTTTATATTACGATTCAAAGTCAAGTTTAATCTTTGGAAATGATTATCAATCTACTTAATGTTATTAGAATCTAATGTTGTTAGACTTTTATTAGCATCTATAAATTCAATATATCTAACAGAAACACTAGTAAGAAGCAGAAATAGCATTAAAAGAAAATATACAAAAATTATTGATGGATAGGATTTTTCACTATAATGGATTGGAAGTAACAGAAGAAACCTATCTCGACTTATCAAGAACCTTAACTACATAATTCTGAAATAATTGAAGATGATGAAGAAGCATAGAGTGAAGGTAAATTCTCATTCTCAATGTTCAAATGATCACGCAGACTTTGACAGTTCTTATAAAAGATGAGCTTTGACAGTTCTTACAAAAGATGAACTGTTGAGTATTGGCGAAATTGAGACATTAATGAAAAAAATAAAAACAAAAGAAATCGTCCGCTAAAAACAGTGCAAAATAAATTTAAAAGAATTTCATCTGAACGTCAATTAAGACGATGGAAAGAACAATTACATTTAGGTGGAAAACGTAGAAAAATTATCTTACATCTCCAAATTTACACATGATAAATTTATGCAGCTGTTGAATCAGGATTCATAGTTCATGATATCGATCTACAAAGGTGGGTTTTACAAGCTCAAGAAGAAATATAAATCCTATATTTAAAGCATCTTACAGTTGAATATCTTACAGTTTAATAATCAAAAAGTCCCACCAAATTGTTTCGAGAAAAATTACAAAATTTATAACTAGAAGAACAATAGAAAATTCCATTGAATTGTAAAGTACAGCTAATGATTTTCTGAAAACAGTGAAATTACTTATGGAACAATTCAGATCTGAAAACGTTTTTAATTCTAATCAAAGTGGTTTCCAATTGGAAATTCATTCTGGAAGGTCATTGTCTGATGAAGGAGTAAAGGAAATAGAATGTGTTGTGCAATCTATATCATCAACAATACACTCATACACCATACAACTAATAATATCGTGTAATGGAAATTTATTATCACTTTTATTTATTATATAATAAGAGAAATTAATGGTATTAGGTGTACAACTTCGCTTCCGCTGTTTTCCTATAGATGGCTTTAGCGGTAAGTGGTGGTCGAAATAAATAGATCATTGACGTCATACAATAAACTTGGGCATCTGTCAACGTAACCCCATAGAAACATTAGTCGATTTGTGTCTGCATCATAAAGTTATTCTCGATTGAAAATGTCAGTTTACGAGTCAAATTCTCGTTATTTGCGGGAGGTTTTAATTTTTTGCTTCAATATGAAGAAATCTGCGACTGAGGCTTATCGAATGCTCTCAAATACTTATGGTGAGAAAAGCTATTAGTGAAAGAACGTGTCGTGAGTGGTTTCAACGCTTCAAGAACGGTGATTTTGACGTCCAAGGTCATGCTCTATATTTGGTGGGACCAACTCGGCGTAGTGTATTATGAACTGTTAAAACCGACTGAAACAATCACAGGCGATCGGTATCGAACGCAATTGATGCGTTTGAGTCGAGCATTGAAAGACAAACGGCCGCAATACAACGAGAGACACGATAAAGT